CATCTTGTAGGAGTGAGGAAGAGCCAGTTGTGAGTGTGGGGAAAGTTCGTGAGGCAGTAGGTAAAACGAAAGGGGGTAATGCAGCCGGGATTGATGGGATAAAGATAGAAATGTTAAAAGCAGGTGGGGATATAGTTTTGGAGTGGTTGGTGCAATTATTTAATAAATGTATGGAAGAGGGTAAGGTACCTAGGGATTGGCAGAGAGCATGCATAGTTCCTTTGTATAAAGGCAAAGGGGACAAAAGTGAGTGCAAAAATTATAGGGGAATAAGTCTGTTGAGTATACCTGGTAAAGTGTATGGTAGAGTTATTTTTGAAAGAATTAAGAGTAAGACGGAGAATAGGATAGCAGATGAACAAGGAGGCTTAAGGAAAGGTAGGGGGTGTGTGGACCAGGTGTTTACAATGAAACATATAAGTGAACAGTATTTAGATAAGGCTAAAGAGGTTTTTGTGGCATTTATGGATTTGGAAAAGGTGTATTACAGGGTGGATAGGGGGGCAATGTGGCAGATGTTGCAGGTGTATGGTGTAGGAGGTAGGTTACTGAAAGCAGTGAAGAGTTTTTACGAGGATAGTGAGGCTCAAGTTAGAGTATGTAAGAAAGAGGGAGATTATTTCCCAGTAAAAGTAGGCCTTAGACAAGGATGTGTGATGTCACCGTGGTTTTTTTAAAATATATTTATAGATGGGGTTGTAAGGAAGTAAATGCGAGGGTCTTGGAAAGAGGCGTGGAGTTAAAAGTTTAAAGGAATCACACAAAAAAGTGGGAGTTGTCACATTTGCTCTTTGCTGATGACACTGTGCTCTTGGGGATTCTGAAAGAAGTTGCAGAGGTTGGTGGATGAATTTGGAAATGGTATGCAAAAGAAGAAAATTAAAAGTGAATACGGGAAAAGATAAGGTTATGAGGAGAACAAAAAGATTAGGTGATGAAAGATTGGATATCAGTTTGGGGAGGGAGAGAGTAGGGAGGAGGTGAATGTATTCAGATTTTTGGGGAGGGGGAGTGTCAGCGGATGGGTCTATGAAAGACGGGGTTTGAATCATAGAATTGATGAGGGGAAAAGGGTGAGCGGTGAAACTTAGGAGTCTTTGGAGACAAAGAACTTGTCCTTGGAGGCAAAGAGGGGAATGTAATGAGAGTATAGTTTTACCAACGCTCTTATATGGGGTGAAGCATGGGTGATGAAATATTGCAGCGAGGAGAAGGCTGGAGACAGTGGAGATGTCATGTCTGAGGGCAATGTGTGGTGTGAATATAATGCAGAGAATTCGTATTTTGGAAGTTAGGAGGAGGTGCGGGATTACCAAAACTGTTGTCCAGAGGGCTGAGGAAGGGTTGTTGAGGTGATTCGGCCCATGTAGAGAGAATGGAGCAAAAACAGAATGACTTCAAGAGTGTATCAGTCTGTAGTCAGTGTAGTGGAAGGAAGGCGGGGTAGGGGTCGGCCTAGGAAAGGTTGGAGGGAGGGAGTAAAGGAGGTTTTGTGTGCTAGGGGCTTGGATTTCCCAAAACGGGCATGCTTGAGGGGTGTTTGATAGGAGTGAATGGAGACAAATGGTTTTTAATACTTGACGTGCTGTTGGAGTGTGAGCAAAGTAACATTTATGAAGGGATTCAGGGAAACCGGCAGGCCGGACTTGAGTCCTGGAGATGAGAAGTACAGTGTCTGCACTCTGAAAGAGGGGTGTTAATGTTGCAGTTTAAAAACTGTAGTGTAAAGCACCCTTCTGGCAAGACAGTGATGGAGTGAATGATGGTGAAAGTTTTTCTTTTTCGGGCCACCCTGCCTTGGTGGGAATCGGCCAGTGTGTTAATAAAAAAAAAATAATAATAATCTTCTGTTCCATCAAATGAGACCAAAAAAATGAGAATACAACCATAAAAACCATACGAAATTATACCACTAAGGGGTGGCTAATTTCTGAGAAGTGAACTCCGTTATTTATCATCCGATTTTTTTATTTTTGGTGTACATTAAGAAGCATCATTCCATCATACATTGCCCAAGTTTCAATAAGATATCTCAACAAACAGCTGAGAAAAAAAAAAAAAATTTTTTATTAGCACACTGGCTGATTCCCACCAAGGCCGGGTGGCCCAAAAAAGAAAAACTTTCACCATCATTCACTCCATCACTGTCTTGCCAGAAGGGTGCATTACACTACAGTTTTTAAACTGCAACATTAACACCCCTCCTTCACAGTGCAGGCACTGTACTTCCCATCTCCAGGACTCGAGTCCAGCCTGCCGGTTCCCCTGAATCCCTTCATAAATGTTACTTTGCTCACACTCCAACAGCACATCAAGTATTAAAAACCATTTGTCTCCATTCACTCCTATCAAACACGCTCACGCATGCCCGCTAAAAGCCCAAGCCCCTCGCACACAAAACCTCCTTTACCCCCTCCCTCCAACATTTCCTAGGCCGACCCCTACCCCGCCTTCCTTCCACTACAGACTGATACACTCTTGAAGTCATTCTGTTTCGCTCCATTCTCTCTACATGTCCGAATCACCTCAACAACCCTTCCTCAGCCCTCTGGACAACAGCAATCCCGCACCTCCTCCTAACTTCCAAACTATGAATTCTCTGCATTATATTCACACCACACATTGCCCTCAGACACGACATCTCCACTGCCTCCAGCCTTCTCCTCACTGCAACATTCATCACCCATGCTTCACACCCATATAAGAGCGCTTGTAGAACTATACTCTCATACATTCCCCTCTTTGCTTCCAAGGACAAAGTTCTTTGTCTTCACAGACTCCTAAGTGCACTGCTCACCCTTTTCCCCTCATCAATTCTATGATTCACCTCATCTTTCATAGACCCATCCGCTGACACGTCCACTTCCAAATATCTAAATACATTCACCTCCTCCATACTCTCTCCCTCCAATCTGATATCCAATCTTTCATCACCTAATCTTTTTGTTATCCTCATAACCTTACTCTTTCCTGTATTCACTTTTAATTTTCTTCTTTTACATACCCTACCAAATTCATCCACCATCCTCTGCAACTTCTCTTCAGAATCTCCCAAGAGCACAGTGTCATCAGCAAAGAGCAACTGTGACAACTCCCATTTTACGTGTGATTCTTTATCTTTTAACTCCACGCCTCTTGCCAAGACCCTCGCATTTACTTCTCTTACAACCCCATCTATAAATATATTAAACAACCACGGTGACATCACACATCCTTGTCTAAGGCCTACTTTTACTGGGAAATAATCTCCCTCTTTCTTACATACTCTAACTTGAGCCTCACTATCCTCGTAAAAACTCTTCACTGCTTTCAGTAACCTGCTTCCTATACCATACACCTGCAACATCTAAAAATCATAAATGGCAAGCCCATGCCAGGTACTGGAAATAAGTCATATGACTTTTTTGGGTTATCCTCAGTTCTCTCTACATACGCTGCTATGTATGATAGTCTGTGTAACTGTATTTGTGTATACCTGAACAAACTTACTGAATGAGTACAAGAAACTGCTCATTCACCTATTTCAGCTGCCCAATAAAGTGGTCAGAAATTGGCAATTTGGCCAATTTCACAAAAATTTCAAAAGATGCCAATTTCAAAATAGGGTCCAGAATAAACAATGCAGACATTCTTGGCACTAAAATAACATTTTCTCTGTTCATTAGTCACAACTCTAGGCTCCTCTTATATTACTCATGCTTACCATTTGGAATTTTTATTCACTCAAAAAATTTATTTACTGTTATGCAGGCTACTGCATTATTGTAATAATTGTATAAATAATGTCAACCCATTCGTGGCTGCGTATTGGACTGGCCAGTTGGACACATATTAGATGGTGACGTCATTTGTTACTCTTGAACATCACCAAAGAATTGAACATATCCGCTACTTTGAGCTCAATTTCAAAGTACTTTTCGTCATGAAATCAATCAAAATCATATATATTTCTGTAATGTATCTTCCATTCTATCAAATGAGACCAAAAAATGAGAATAGAACCACAAAAACCATACGAAAATATACTGCTAATGGGCAGCTAATGGCTGAGAAGTGAATTCCACTATTTATAGCCCAATTTCTTTCATTTTTGGTGTACATTAAGAAACATTTTTCCATCACACATTGCCCAAGTTTCAGTAAGATAGCCCAACAAACAACCGAGAAAAAAAATATTTACCAAAAATCATGTATTGTAGGAAAGAGGGAGATTATTTCCCAGTAAAAGTAGGCCTTAGACAAGGATGTGTGATGTCACCATGTTTGTTCATTATATTTATAGATGGGGTTGTAAGAGAAGTAAATGTGAGGGTCTTGGCAAGAGGTGTGGATTTAAAAGATAAAGAATCAAACACAAAGTGGAAGTTGTCACAGTTGCTCTTTGCTGATGACACTGTGCTCTTGGGAGATTCTGAAGAGAAGTTGCAGAGGTTGGTGGATGAATTTGGTAGGGCATGTAAAAGAAGAAAATTAAAAGTGAATACAGGAAAGAGTAAGGTTATGAGGATAAAAAGATTAGGTGGTGAAAGACTGGATATCAAATTGGAGGGAGAGAGTTTGGAGGAGGTGAATGTATTCAGATATTTGGGAGTGGACATGTCAGTAGATGGGTCTATGAAGGATGAGGTGAATCATTGAACTGATGAGGGGAAAAGGTGAGTGATGCACTTAGGAGTCTGTGGAGACAAAGAACTTTGTCCTTGGAAGCAAAGAGGGAAATGTATGCGAGTATAATTATACCAACACTCTTGTATGGGTGTGAGGAAACATTTCCTCAATACAGATTTTGAAATGTTGTACAAGTGTCTTATTCTTGGATTATCCTGGTTTAATAGCACACTAATATTAGTAATTCAAAGAAAAGAACTTCTTATACACACACAACTACAAACTCAAAAGCCACTCAGGAGAATAATACTAGTGCTAGCTATGTGCATTGTTTGGTGATTTTCTAATTAATTTGAGTACCAGAGCCCAATGCAATATGTCATTTATTACAGATAAATGATAAGTTTGTTCTCAAGAGTGGCACAGACTTCAGGGAATTTTCAACAATAACTTTAAGTCAGGAAGGAACCAGCATCAATGTTGATATTGAGAAGGTTGTTGTAGACTCCAAGTTTGAACCTGATGAAGAACTAAAAGAAGCTCTTAAAGAATATGAAGGTAAGTGCATTCAAAGTACTTAAGTAAAAGAAGTAGGGTTATACAGTCTGCCTGGAAAGTTATGGCACTGGCTACAGGGCAGACTTTCATCATTGAAACATATGGCTACAGATGGTTGAGATCTGCACCTTCTAGAAATCTTGGAAAGAACTCAAGACACCAATTTCCTTATGTGGTACAAAGATAATGTAGTTTACATGAACATAATAAAACATTGGTAAGCACAAAAGAAAGCCACTAGTATGCAACGCATTTCGGGCAAATTATTCCTAATGCTTAAGACTTCTTAAGAATTAGTGAAATGGAGATGATTTTGGTCAGTTTCAGGCTGAAAGTAGCCTGAAATAGTCTTCAGAGTAGCAGAATTATTTGATTTTTGATGAATTTGCTGAAGATAGGTAGGGGACTCCTAGCTTCTTGACTTTTTTCATGTTCACTAAACCCTCGATGATGGGAAAAGGAGAGAGATTAGATGGATAATGTATAAAATGTTAAAAAAAGGGGACATTTTTTTTTTTAGTTTTTATTGTTCTGGCTGGCATATCAAACAGAATAAAACATTATTCTTCTGACTTTCATCATCATGTAAAAATATCTGAGCTTCATAAAAGTAGTACATTAGACCCAAAGGCAGATCAGGTCGTTTTGAGGCTTGTACACCTTGCAATTTGGTGGGGGAGGCCCAATTTTAATTAATCACCTGATGATGTTTTTCTATGAAAATTTGTCCTGTAGCTAGTGTCATATCCCCAGTCAAAGATTGGTGATATTTTTTTATTTATTTTTATTTATTTGGACATGATAAATGAGTAAAAGAAATACGGGGTTTAGGTAACATCTAAACCCTTGTATGCAAGCTTTTCAAAAGGGTTTTACCTATGTTTTGAGGATTAAATTCATACCTTTTAAAAATTTTAATTGTATTGAATTTGGGAGACTTCGTTTCCTGGCAAAAACTTTCGAACAGACCGTTTACTCAAAGTCAAATTAAAATTCAAGTTTATTTCCAATGATAATTAGGGTTATGCAGAGCTTTCTGGCAAGTTAAGCTTAACAAAGACTACAAGGGCGTAAACATTTTTGAATTTTTTTAGGGACATTAAGTGATAAAAATAATTATAACTTAATGTCCTATAGATGATGGGGGGGGTTTAAGAAGTAGTGTTAGAGTGTTCAGCAAAAGTTTGTGGTTACGGGAAAGGGGGTGCAGGGGGGGGAAGGACAATTGGGGGGAAGATGATTAAAAGGAGAAAAGGGAGAAAAATTAGCAAATGAAAGTTTTTAAAAAGTAGAAGTGATCGGGAGGGAAGTATATGGAGAGAAAAAGAGGTTAAGAGTGTAAGAATGTAAAAAGAGAGCAAATGAGAAGTGGGTGAGATGTTATCAACAAATTTTGTGAAATAAGAAAAAGTTTTTGAGGAAGCCTAGGGACAAAGGGATTTGGACTTTTTAAAAATAGGGAGGAGATTTTATTAAAGGGAGGTTGGGGTTTTTGGGAAGAGGGGGGAATTTTTTTGGAAAAAATTTTTTTAAAATTTTGATGAAGATGGGGGAGCGTGATTTCTTTTTTTTCCTGTTTAGGGCAAAGGGAAAAACCTCTTGTAGGAGTGAGGAAGACCCTTTGTTAGTGGGGGAAGTTTGTGAGGCAGGGGTAGAATGAAAGGGGGAAAGGCAGCGGGATTGATGGGAAAAAAGATAAAATGTTAAAAGCGGTGGGGAATAATTTTGGATTGGTTGGGGGTTTTTTTTAATAAATTATGGAAAGGGAAAGGTACCTGGGATTGGCAGAGAGTGCCCAGGCACAGGCACTGTATTCCCACCCCTCCCCAAGCCCAGCTAATGGTTTTCTGGAATCCCTTCAAAATGTTACCTTTTTCACACCCAACAACTCAAGTCATAATCCCACTTGCTTTCTCTTTTTGCCCAAAACTCTCTGCATATCCTGGACTACTAAAGTGTCATTGGGTTTCAAGCTTATACATCAAACCTTTACTCCCCCCTCCAACTCTTCTTTGAATAAATTCCACCCTCTACCCTCCACCCAAATATCAGTGGCCCCTCCTTTTGTAGTTTTGGCAATCGAAAATTTTCCCCATCTGGGGGTATTTTCTAAAACAGGGATCGCTTTTATAGGTTGACTCGCGAATAGTTTCGTCCGGGACCGTATGAAGGTGTGAGCGGGGGGGCCCTCCCTCCCACCATTTGGCTTTGTTTACCCTGGGTGAGGTCCCCTAAAGTGTCCTAAAAAATTTTTTCAAATATCCACTCTTTTTATCTTGAAGTGCTAAATAAGCCCATGGCTCCAAAGAAAGCCCTAGGCCAACCTGTGGTTTAAAAAAGGGTGAAAAAGTACAGGACAAAGCGGGCCATTTTGGGGGAAGTGTTAAAGGGGAAGCCAAACAAGCTCTCTCCACAGTTTTTTGCGAGACAGGACTAAAGTGACTTCAAGGTGGTAAGTGGCATTAAGAAACAAGAAGGAAGAAACCCCCAGAGAAGCAATTGGTCCCTGGGGTTTTGCGGGAAAGGGGGGATTCCCCTTCCAAAACGAAACAATCCAATCTCTTTCCTCCCCCCGTCCCCCTACACTAAGAAGAATCTCCAATGGGTAAGGTTACGTGTTATGTTTCATCATCATTTCCCTTGTTTTTTTTGACTCAGGTATATTTCATGAAAAAAATTTTTTGTTTTAATACTTCTGGGTGTCGGGAAAGGTTTAATTGTATTTACATTATTTTTTTGTGGGGAAAATTGATTCGCAAATGAAAATTTTGTTTATATAAGGGCTCCAGGAAGGATAATTATGAAAAACAGGGACCCTGTTACCCCCTTTTCATCATCTTTTTCTCCTAGCCCCCTTAGATCCCCCAGATAATTAATAATTCCTCCTAGCACGGGTTATTTCCTTGGTGACCACACTGTTTTTTTTTTTTTTCACTCTGAATTTGCTACATAATTTTCACCCAGTCATGATTTTAAGCCAGTGTCTCCCCCCCTGCAGCCCCCCCTTTCGCGCTTTTTAACCCCCCCCACTTTCACACCTTTCTCTGGACTTTTTCCCTGTTTGCCCCCATAGATTAACTTCCTTTTCATGATGCCTCAACATGCCATATTTTTTTTTCCCCTCATTGTTCTGGGGCCCTTTTTTTCATACCCCCATCTGCTGAATGTCCCCCCCCCAAATTATCTGAATATATTACTTCCTTCGAGTCCTTTTTCCAGTCTGATATCCATTCTTCTTTGCCGGATTTTTTGAACCTCATCCCCTTTGATTTTTCCTTGTTTACTTTAATTTTCCTCTTCTCCCCTCCCAAATTCCTTCAAAAACCTTGGAACTTTACAAAATTTCCAAAAAAATCTGTCATCAGAAAAGAGAAATTGCAACAACTCCCACTTGTATGAATTCCTTTTTTTTAAATCCCAACTTCCTAAACACCCAGAACCCTTTTCTTTTAAAAACCCAATGAAATGTTTTAAAACATGGGGGCATCACATCCTTACCAAAAAATTACCTTTGCTGGGCGAAAACCCCTCCTCCTACATACCTTGCCCTATGAGAAAAATTTTTTTCTGTGTACAGCACATAACTTTTTTTTTTATTATGTGGTTATGATCAGTTATTTATATGGTTATATTGTTTGTGTAATTGCAGCTGTTGTGGGAGAAAGAGGGAAAGGGACACGGGAAACATTCAGTGTGGAACTGAGGGAAGTTTTCCCCCTCAACCCGACACAAGAAACCAACTTAGGCAATTTAATGCGACATCCATATGGAGCTTGAAAGGGAGTTTTGGTTATTAATTCTGGGATTGGGTGGACAGAATTCACCCAGTGGTGATTTCAAAAGGAAGATTTAATGCCTTTTAAAGATGTTGGACCCTTTTACTTGTTTAGGGTAATGGGGAGCATTGGCACTTCCCTCTCTATGCTTGTATGTATGTTTTGTATAGAAAAAGTACCAGGGGGAATTGGAAAAAGAACCTTTCCCCTTTTGAAAGTCAAGCTGTCGTAAGAGCAGCAAAGATGCCTGAGAAAGGGGCTAGTAATTCCTCCCCTGTAAAATTACTGGTGAAAAAAGAAAAATAAACTTTTTTAAAGCATTTATTCTTTTTGGGTCACCCTCCTCAGTGGGAGATGTGTTTTGTTTTAAAAAAATTATTGCATATATAAAATGCAGTAGACCGTTATTTTTACAGGATTTATTTTGCCCTTTTTTGGCTTTTGCATATTGAAAAATTGCAGAATATTTTATACAAACTTCATAAAATTAACTTAACACAGTCGTTTGGGGTGCAGAAAAAAATTTCCCACTCAAGCTGCAACCCCTGACACACTCGCCCCCCCCCCACCCCAACTGTAAAAAAATATATCTTTTTTTTCTACAAGTACATGTTCGAGTAAAGGGTAATATGAATCAGTGCATACGTACTATTAGTAGAAAGCCGTTGTTATGCGAGCATTTGGGAAAATTTAATCATTTTTTATCCCAGGTTGCGTACACACTAGTCAAAAACCCCCAGGTACCCAATAACGAGGGGGAAACATAGACAGCAGGTGTCTTCGGGAAACCGTCCCTAATGTTTTCCACCATCCGGGGATTCGTTTTCCCTTTTGCCCAGTACAATGCCTCCTGGGAGCTGCTGTTTTTGTGATTGTGTTTTGGTCTTTTAATTGCCATGTCGTGTACTGCCAAAATCAGGCCCGGGTGGGCATACATGTTGCTAAATGGCAAAAAAAGGTACATAAAAGCATTTAAGTCTTTGGGTTAACGAAGAAAATAGAGTATTAACAAGAGATAGTCGTGACTTTAATGAAGTGTCTTTTTCTACAATTAAAAAAAATGTGGTAAAATATATAAAATTTGTGGGGGACATAAATAGAATTAAGGTCCCAAAAATGGTAATCGTGTACCCCCATCCCCTTTTATAGGGTGAATGATTTTTCATTGCTTGGGCTGACATCTGCATGACAATCTTCCCGTTAAAAAAAAGGCAAAATTTAGGACAAACTGAAGCAAGAGAGAGACTAATTTGTTTTTTTGCCGCAAGGAAAATTTCTGAACATTCCTTTCATAACTTTGAACTTTAAGCAGCCACAACTAAGGGCAAAAATCCACGTCGCCTGGGGGGGATGGTATTTCTTAAAATATCCCAATTGCTTTTCAAGTACCAGGTAATCCTTTTTCTTTAATTATAAAACAGATATGTAACTGGGGGGCTCCCCAAATCTTTGGGCCAACAGCCCTCATCATTCCCTTCCAAAGCCCAGTCAAAAAAATCATTTTTCCCAATATCTCTCACAGTGCTTGTGTAAAATTTGAGAGGATGATTTCTTTAATTTTTTATGCCGGAAATTTAAAAAATTTTTTTTTCCCCGGGGTTTCATGGGTTTTAGCATGGAAGGGGGGGGTGCATAACCCTTTGCATTCTTCACACTGACATTTGACACTACCTTTTTTGACTTAATCTGCTTTTGATGTAGCCAACCTACATGAATCTTAGTGAACTTACCAGAAAGGATTTGGGGGGGTGTTTGTGGAAAAGTCTTTTGTGTTTTTCCAGAAGCAAAAAGTGTAACTAAAAAACTTAGAATTTGGGGAACCCCCCTGGGAGGTGTGCTCAGTCCCCCCTATTTATCGCCCCTCCTCACTTAACAATGAAAAATTTCGTTCCTAAGACCAGTCGGTAAAAAAATTTGTACTAAGTGAGGGGTACTTTAATGGTAGTGGGGTTTTTGTCAAAAAATCTTTGATATTTTTTTTAGATTTTTTTTTTTTTTTTATTATCACACCGGCCGATTTCCCCCCAAGGCGGGGGCCCGAAAAAAAAAAAACTTTCACCAATTCACATCCCACTGTCTGCCGAAAAGGGGGTTTCACTACAGTTTTAAAAAATGCAACATTAAAACCCCCCCTTCAGAGTGCGGCACTTACTTCCATCTCCAGGATCAAATGGCCTGCCGGTTTTCCCCGAATCCCCCCAAAATGTTACTTTCTAAAATCCACGCACGTCAAAATATTAAAAAACCATTTTCCATTCACTCCTACAAAAACCTCACGCAGCCTTGGAAGTCAAAACCCCCCGCACACAAAACCTCCTTTACCCCCCCCCAAAACCCTTCCTGGCCGAACCCCCCCCCGCCCTTCCCTTTCCCCTAAGACTGTACCTCTTTAAATCATTCTGTTTTTGTCCCTTTCCCCTTTTACATGTCCCAAAAACCCCAACAAACCCTTCCCCCGCCCCCTGGACAACAGTTTTGGTAATCCCGACCTCCCCCTAAAATTCCCAAAATACGAATTCTCGCATTTTTATTAACCCCAATTTCCCTCAGAATGAATTCCTGCCTCCAGCCTTTCCCCCCGCTGCAAAATTCATCCCCACGTTCACACCCATAAGACGTTGGTTAAAACTATCTTCCCCACATTCCCCCTCTTTGCCTCCAAGGACAAAAATTCTTTGTTCCAAAGACCCTAAATGCAACACTCACTCTTTTTCCCATCAAATTTTATGATTCACCTCATCTTTTTTAGACCCATCCGTACACGCCCCTCCCCAAATATCTGAATGTTTACCTCCTCCATTTTCCTCCCCAATTGTATTCAATCTTTCACACCCAATTTTTTTTTATCCTATAAATTTCTCTTTCTGTATTCACCCTTTAAATTTTCTTCTTTTGCAACCCTACCAAATTCATCCACCAAAATTTTGCAACTTCTCTTAGATTCCCAAGAGCACAGTGTCATCGGGAAAGAAGCTGTGAAACTCCCACTTTGGTGTGATTCTTTTTTTTAAACCCGCCCGCCAAAACCCTGCATTTACTTCCTTACAACCCCTCATAAATTATTAACAACACGGTGACATCAACATCCCCCTTTTCTAAGGCCCACTTTTACTGGGGAAAAAAATTTTCCCCCTTTCCCTTTCATACTTAACTTAGCCTCCTATCCCCGTAAAAACTCTTCATGCTTTCATAACTCCCCTACACCAACACTTGCAACATCTGCCCCATTGCCCCCTATCCACCCCGTCATACCCTTTTCCAAAACCCCTAAATGCCCAAAGACCTCTTTGCCCTTTTTTAAATACTGTTCACTTATAGTTTCACTGTAAACCCTGGTCCACACACCCCCTACCTTTTCCCAAAGCCCCTTGTTCACTGCTATCCCATTCTCCCTCTTTCTCTTAATTTTTTTTTAATTTAAATCTACCTACACTTTTCCAGGTACACCAAAAAGACTTACCCCCATAATTTTTTGCACTCTCTTTAACCCCCTTTGCCTTTTACAAAGGAACATGCATGCCTCTGCCCAAACCCTAGGGACCTTTCCCCTTCCAAAATTTTTTAAATAATTCACCAACCCCAAAAAATTTTTCCCCACCTCTTTTAAAAATTTTTTCTTTTCCCATCAATCCGGCTGCCCTTTCCCCTTTCATTTTTCCTACGCCCACGAACTTCCCCCCCACTCACAACTGGGTCTTCTCACTCCTACAGTGTTATTCCTCCTTGCCCTATACCGAAATCAAGTTCCCCCACTTCATCAACATTTAAAAATTCTAAAAAAATTCCTTCCATCTCCCAATACCTCTACCTCTCCCTTTAAAAACTCCCTCCCATTTTTTAAATGACAAATCCATTGTTCTCTAGGCTTTCTTAATTTTTAATCTCACTCCAAAAAATTTTTCTTTTTCAAAAAAAATTTTTTGTAACATCTACCCTCTTCATTTGCTCTCTTTTTTTCATTTCTTCACCCCTCTTTTAACTTCTCTCTTTTTCTCCATTACTCTTCCCCCCTTGCAATCCTTTACTTTGTAAAAAAAAAAAATTTTCATTGCTAACTTTTTCTCCCTTTCTACCCCTTTACTCCATTTCCCCCAACGCTCCTTTCCCTCCTGCACCCCTTTTCCCGTAAAACCCAAACTTCTGCGAACACTCTAACACACATTTTTAAAATACCCAAAACCTCCGACCCCCCTTTCCTATGCTTCATTGCCCCTCTATCTCCAATAGCTGTTTATATCTTTCCCTAACTGCCTCCCCTTTTGTTTTAAAACTTCCCTCTCTCTTCCCTGAGCTTCATTCTCCTTGTATCCCCTTACCCTTTTTTTCAGTGTACTCAACAGAAATGATCTGATATTCTGTGGCCCCTTAAAAACATGACATCCCGAAGTCTACTCAAAGTCTTTTATCTACCCAAAACATAATCCCCAAACTACTGTCATTTTTGCCCCACTCATTCGTGTATTTTTTTATCCCCTTTTCTTAAAAATGTATTACCTATAAAAAACCCCTTTTTTACAAAATTCAATCAAAGGGTCCATTATATTTACACCCGGCACCCCAAACTTACCTACCCCCTCTCTAAAAATTTCCCCTCTTTAGCATTCAAGTCCCCACCAAATTACCCCAAAATTTTTAATTTTCTGGGATATTTAAATGTTTATACAGTAGTTATGTTATTGTCATAAAAAAGAATAGAGGAAATCACTCTAAAATTCAAAAAAGGTCGAGGCCTTCATAAGTCTGAGTCGCGGTAAGAGTCGTCGCTAAATTTAGGAGAGGTTTCTAATTTAAAGCTTTACTTAAAGCTATGCCTATCCCCATTGTTATTTGATTAGTTTTGCTGACGATTTAATGATTCACACCCCCGAATTCTCCAACCCAGAACATCCTTAACCATGTACTAGCCCCTGTCAGGACCCCGGGGTTGATAATTTTATGATAAAGACAAAGAAATGAAAGGTGTCCTCCTCGACAAAAGGGGCAGTTCGCCAGTCCCCGTTGAAGATGGGGCTCTTTTAGAATATGTAATCAGATACAAATATCTGGGTTTGGGGGCCCCCCTACTTGGACCGTTGTAACAAGCTTTTCCCAATGCAAGAAGGGTGAGGGCACTTAGAGTTGTGGGAGGTTTTCATCCAAGGTATGGTGCTAATGTTAAAATTGTGAAAAAAGATGTACTGCTTAAATTAGATATTGGTTATTTTGTTCACCACTACTTGCTCTGTGTCTGACTGGAAGCTTGGAGGGGGTGGAAAAAATGCAGAATGAACAATTTAGGGTCATCCTAGGATGCCCTGCTGCCCAAAAATTTTAAATATGCAAAAGAACTTTGTATTCCAAGCATCAGTGATCATGTTACTGAAAGAAATATCCTCATTGGGGTCAATATGATTAGGCTAGCCCATTGAGCCCCCTGCACAGAAGCCCTCCAGACTTTCCTCAGCACTGGTGAACACCCCTCCAGATGGAACAAAAAATTAAAACTTTATCAGTATAAAACAGATTCTAACCACACAGTAGAGTGAAAAACTAATGTGAGAGATCCGGGAGTGATAATGTCAGAGGATCTCACCTTCAAAGACCACAACAGTTTATCTACCTCATCTGCTAGAAAAATGATAGGATGGATAATGAGAACCTTCAAAACTAGGGAATCAATGCCTGTGATGATTCTCTTCAAATCACTTGTTTTCCCTAGGTGGGAGTATTGCTGTACACTAACTACCCCCTTCAAGGCAGGCAAAAATTGCTGACCTGAAGAATGTACAGAGAACTTCATGGTACACAAAAGTGAAATAAAGCACCTAAATTACTGGGAATGGTTGAAGTCCCTTGATTTGTATTCCCTGGAATGGAAGTGAGAAAGATTCATGATAATATATACTTGAAAAATCCTAGAGGGATTAATACCAAACCTGCACACAAAAATCACTCCCTATGAATATCTTTATTTATATCTTTATTTACTACAAGTAAATGTACAAGGTATACAGGCCAAGCTGACATCAATGACATACTACTATACAGAAAGCCCCTTGTTATACCTGGAGTATACCTGGAAAGAGTTCCGAGGCCCAGTCTGTGACCAAGTCTCATGGTGGATCAAGGCCTCATCAACCAGGCTGTTACTACTAGCCACACATAATCCAACGTACAAATCATAGCCCGGCTGGTCAGGTACTGACTTTAGGTGCCTGTCCAGTACCTGCTTGAAGAAAGCCAGGGGTGTATTGGTAATCCCCTTGATGTTTGCTGGGAGGCAGTTGAACGGTCTTGGGGCCCTGACACTTATTGTGTTGGGGGGATGTTGCACCATCTGCCGAGTCTTTTGCTTTTGTAGGGAATGATTTTTGTGTGCAAGTTTGGTACTAGTCCCTCTAGGATTTTCCAGGTGTATATAATCGTGTATCTCTCCCTCCTGCATTCTAGGGAGTACAGGTTTAAGAACTTCAAGCGTTCCCAGTAATTGAGGTGGTTTATCACAGTTATGCATGCTGTGAAGGTTCTCTGTACATTTTCTAGGTCAGCAATTTCACCTGCCTTGAAAGGTGCTGTTAGTGTGCAGCAATATTCCACTCTCGATAGAACAAGCTTGGCATCCCTGGTTTTGAAGGTTCTCATTATCCATCCTGTCAATTTTCTAGCAGATGTGATTGATATAATGTTATGGTTCTTAAAGCTGAGATCCTCTGACATGATCACCCCAGGTCTTTGACATTAGTTTTATTGCTCTATTGTGTTGTTGGAATTTGTTTTATACTCCGATGAAGTTTTAATTTCCTCACATTTTCCATATCAGAGTAATTGAAATTTCTTATCATTGAACTTCATATTGTTTTCTGCAGCCCATTTAAAGATTTGGTTCATGTCTGCCTGGAGTTTTGCAGTTCTTAAATGGAGGATACTGTCATGCAAATTCGGGTGTCATCTGCAAAGGAAGACACGGCGCTGTGGCTTATATCCCTGTCTATGTCTGATATGAGGATAAGGAACAAGATGGGGGCGAGTACTGTGCCTTGTGGAACAGATCTTTTCACCATAGCCACCTCAGACTTTAATCTGTTGACTACTACTCTTTGTGTTCTATTTGTTAGGAAATTATAGATCCATCTACTGACTTTTCCTGTTATTCCTTTATCAGGCATTTTGTGCGCTATTACACCATGGTCACACTTGTCAAAGGCTTTTGCAGTTGTGACCATGGTGTAATAACACACAAAATGCAGAGCATTTTGGGCAAATTAGGTCAGTGTTGTCCCGGGATACGACTCACACCAGTTGACTAACACCCAGGTACCCATTTTACTGATGAGTGTAAGGAAAAACGTCCGATGTTTCCACCCCCTTTGCCGGGAATTGAACCCAGACCCTCACCGTGTGAAGTGAGAGCTTTTGCCACCAAGCCATGGGGCAAAATACTCAGCAGGAGATGCAACATTCCCTCAATGAGAAGCAGGAAGGCCACGAGTACACTAAGAGACAACACAATAAGTGTCAGGGGCCCAAGACTGTTCAGCTGCCTCTCAGCATACATAAGGGGGATTACAAATAGACCCGTCTGTCTGTCTTCAAGAAGGTGCTTGACAGCCACCTAAAGTCAGTACCTGATCAGGTGGGCTTTGGTTCGTATGTTGGTTTACGTGCAGCCAGCAGTAACAGCCTGGTTAATCTGACCCTGATCCAACATGAGGCCTGGTCTCAGACTGGGCCGCAGGGGCATTGACCCCTGAAACCCTCTCCAGGTAAACGACAATGAACTACAATTACATACTCACTTTTATTTTTGTAAGATCTGGAGGCCTAAAAAAAGTTGTTTGGCAATTTTAGGGCTCCCAGGAATATATCCCTAAGTTTTTCAGTTTATCTAGCATGTATTTACCGAACACAACGTTTTCAGGAATGTAACTACCATGTAAAATAACGGTCTACTGTATATTTATGTTATATAAAATTGTATCTTTATTATTAATATTTCTTGTTTACATAGGAGAAACACTTCTGGAGGTCCTTGAAAATGGAGTTTCACAGTATCCTAAACTTGAGGGTCGCTTTCCTCAAGTTGCTGGTCTCCAGTTTGTGTTTGACCCCGACGCAGAGCCTGGCTCAAGACTGATCAGAGACTTGGTCAAGGTCGGAGATGAGTACCTCAACCCAGAAGCTGTTTATCGATTCGTGACAAAGGCTTACATGAAACAAGGCAGAGATGGATACAATATGCTAATAGACTGTCCTATATTGGTACGTTGCTAAATGTTTCTGAATGATACTGGAGTACCACAGGGAAATGTCCTTGGTCCATGCTCTTCCTCTTATACATCAATGGTCTTCCTAATGTATCAAAACACCTTAAACCTATTCTCTTTGCTGACGACACAACTTATGTCATCTATCACCCTAATCTTGCCTCACTCCACACTTTTGTTAACGAAGAGCTAGTAAAAACATTGACCTGGATGACTGCCAATAAACTTACACTTAATATTAACAAAACCTTCTACAGTATGTTTGGGAGCAGAACAGATCATGTCCAGCTGAACATTATGATTGACAACACTCTTATTGCTAAACAAAATGAGGGCAAATTCCTGGGTCTGCACCTTGACAGCAACCTGAAATTCAACACCCATATCCAACACATAACAAAAAAAAGTATCCAAAATAGTTGGGATTGTCTCAAAGATGTTACTATGTACCAAAATCAGCCCTACTCATACTATACTATTCAATCATCTATCCCTACCTCACCTATGCTATTTGTGCCTGGGGATCAACAGCAGCAACCCACCTAAAGCCAATGATAACCCAACAAAAAGCTGCAGTAAGAATTATCATGCATTCCAATGCTAGACAACACCCCCCCCCCCCCCAATTCACACTGACCCAAATGGCTGTAAACATAAAATTTCTAATATAGCTGTTGCCTGATAAATCTTAAGTTAGTCCTAATTTTTCCTGAAATACTCTCCCAATATTGGAGCTTTTATAGAAACAGTATCATGCTGAGATAAAACCATTCCCATTACTAAACTTACTAATTTTAGTATTGTTAATCACTTCATTTACCTAACTTTTATATCAGTATACAATAATTTATATTAAAATGTACTGCTCCATAACCTTTGTCAGTATTGAGTAAGAATTAATATTAGTCTGCCCGAAATACCTAGGCATGCTAGTGGCTTCTTTGTAATCTTTGCAAGGAAATAAACATTTTCATTTCATTTCATTTTCATTTTTGCGTTGAGTTTTCTTCGTTGATGATTTAACCCTTTCAGGGTCAGTTCTGTAGTTCTACTGCTTTGAAGCCAGGGTCGGTCCCCTAGTTCTACGCCTTGAGCTCAGCTCACTCAGATAAGCTGTGAGCGGTAAATTTGGGCCTAGATATGAGAGTGTATGTCTGTGCAATAAGTGTGCACCACATAAAAAATCCTACAGCAAGCACTGCATAATGTGGAAAAAATGCGACTGTGTGTTTGATTTAAAACAGCGACTTTGTGGTGTATTTTTGTATGATTTTTAAGGTTGTATTCTCAGTTTCTTGGTCTCGTTTGATTAAATGGAAGATACATTACAGAAATAAAGATGATTTTGGTTGGTTTCTGGACTGATAGTAGCTTGAAATTAAGCTGAAAGTAGTGGAAATGTTTGATTTTTGCTGATGTTCAAGAGGAAACAAATCACATCACACATCCAATACATGTCAACTGGTGGGTCTTATGTGCGTTCACCAATGCATTGATATTATTTATACAATTACTACAATAATTTATTTATTTATTAATTTGAACATGATACAGAGAAGTACAAAGGAATACAGTTATTAAAGTGCAACATGCCAAAGCCCCTTGTATACATTATGGGCAGGCAGGCCGTTGTATGCATTATGGGCAGGCTTAAAATTAACTTAAGATTAACTAAGCAATGATATATTCAGTGGTAAAAACATTATTGTAAACAGATAACAATTTAGCACAAATGAGTATTACAAAGACAGGTCATGTGGTTATTTACTGTCATGGATCACAGGTTAGACATTAATGACATACAATAATGAGAAACATTTATGAGATACAATTTATGAGATACAATTATTTAGTATTTATTTAGTTGTGGGTGAGTAAGTGATTTTTGAGAATAGACTTGAATTTATAAACAGACAGTGTTTCTTTTATATTCACAGGTAATGAATTCCAGATTTTAGGGCCTTTTATGTGCATTGAGTTTTTGCATAGCATGAGGTGGACACGAGGAACATCAAAGAGTGATCTGTGCCTTGTGTTATGGTCATGTGTTCTGTTGAGGTTCGTAAGGAGATGTTTGAGGGGAGGGTTTATATCAGAGTTAAGTGTTCTATGTATGTAGTAGGTGCAGTAATAAGTATGGATGTTTTGTATGGTGAGCAGGTTTAGAGTTTTGAATATTGGTGGAGTGTGCTGCCTGTGGTGGGAATTTGTTAGCATTCTGACTGCAACCTTTTGTAGGGTAATTAATGGTCTGAGATGGTTTATTGTTATTGAGCCCCATGCACAAATTCCATAGGTGAGATAGGGGTAAATAAGTGAGTGATATAGGGCCAGGAGAGCTGACTGTGGAACATAGTACCGTATCTTCGATAGTATGCCTACGGTTTTGGAATTTTTTTTGGAAATTTGTTGTATGTGTGTTTGAAATTTAAGTCTATTATCAAGGTGGATTCCTAAGAATTTTCCCTCTGTGAGTTTTGTGATAGGTGATCCATTTATCATTATGTTAAGAGGGACGTCTGTAGCTCTGTTACCAAACTGAATGAAGTAGGTTTTGTCAATATTTAGAGTAAGTTTGTTAGTCCTCATCCAGGTAGATATTTTCTGTAATTCAGTATTTACAGTATTGGCTAGCGTGACTGGGCTCGGGTGAAAGAAGACGTATGTAGTGTCATCTGCAAATAGTGTGGGTTTGAGTAGTTGTGATGCATTTAGTAGGTCATTTATGTATATGAGAAAGAGAAGAGGGCCTAGGACACTTCCCTGTGGGACTCCAACTGTAATTGGCTGTGCGGAAGAGTTTGCCCCATTTGTGTACACATATTGGCTTCTATTGCTGAGGTATGACTTTAGGTAGTTGAGGGAGTGCCCTCTTATACCATAGTGCAACAATTTTATATGGAACAAGTCATGGTCATCTGTATCAAAAGCTTTACATAAGTCAATGAAGATCCCCAGTGAGACTTCTTTTTTCTCTATTGCAGTGTATATGTGTTCTAACATGTGTATAATAGCATCATTAGTATTTTTATTAGGCCTGAACCCAAATTGACAGGGGTTGAGTATGTTGTGGGAGATGAGGTAGGTATAGATTCGCTTATGAATTAATTTTTCGAAGATTTTAGAGAGAGAGGGTGTAAGTTGGATATTGGCCTATAGTTATTCAAGTCTGTTTGGTCTCCTCCTTTATGGATCGGGGTGACCCTTGCTATTTTGAGAACTGTAGGGAAGGTAGAGGATTCTGTGGATTTGTTAAAGAGTGTTGCAATGATTGGTGATAGCACTTGTGATGCTCTTTTGTATATAAAAGGTGGTAAGGTATTTAAATCTCCTGTCTTGTTTTTTAGTGTGTTGATAGTAAGGGAGACTTCAGTAGGGTTAGTCGGAGCTAGGAACAGTGTGTTCGGGTAGTTGCCAGTGAGGTAGTCATTGGGTGGGGTATCTGAGCTTAGGATTTTATTGGCAAGGTTTTTTCCTATAGTGGAGAAGAAATTATTAAGTCTGTTTGCTGTTTCAGTAGGTGGGAGTTGGGGTTCATCTGGTTTTGTTAATTCAATTTCGCTATTTCGTGATATCTTTTTAGTTCCTAGAATTTCTGATGGGGTTTACCAGGTCTTTTTTACATCACCTCGTAAGTTGGATAATCTGTTCTCATAATACAATTTTTTAGCCCTTCTTATCAAGCTGGTTAGGATTGACGAGTAACGTTTTGTTTGGTCTCTGGTTATGTGACCCATTTTGTACTGTTTTTCGTATAGGTGCTTTGTATTTATGGATTTGAGGATGCTGGGTGTTAGCCAGGGACTGTTCAGTCTCTTAGCTGTCATCTGTTTAGTTTTTTGGGGGCAGTGCTTGTTATAGAGGTATTGGGTCTTTTTTAGAAAATTATTAATATATTCGTCAATATCTGTATAGATTTCTAGCTCAGTGTGCCAGTCAATGTTTGTCACTGCTGCTGTGAAGTTATTAATAGCTGCCTCATTGTGAAGTCTGAAAGTGACTTTAGTAGTGTCTTGGGGTAATTTGCCAAGAGTTGTTATGAGGAGGGTAGGGTAGTGATCTGTGGTATTATCTGTGATTATGCCTGATTTTAAAGGGGATATGGTGTTGGTCCAGATGTGGTCAAGTAGGGAAACACTAGTCTCTGTAACTCTTGTAGGTTTTGTTACTGTTGGTAGCAACATGCAGTTACTCATAGTGTTTGTGAATTCAGTAACTTGTGGGTCCTGGTCTTGCAGGAGATTTATATTGAAGTCACCTGAGAGTAGTAAGTGATCTTTGTTCATGCGTGCATCAGTGTCTGCCATGTCTGCAGTGTCGTGCAGTAGTCTGCCTAACAGTAAATCTTCTATTTTGTATGTTGGTAAAAATTCAAAATGGAAGGCAAGTGTAATATAAAAGGGGCCTGGAGATATGCCTGATGAATAGAGAAAATGTTATTTTAGTACCAGGAATGTCTGCATTGTTTATTCTGGACCTTATTTTGAAATTGGCCTTTCTTGAATTTTGTGTGAAAATGACCTGATTTCTGATCACTTCATAAAGTGGTTGAAATAGGTCAATGGGCAATAGAATGAAAGGAATACTAGCAAAATAGCTATGAGTTTGGTTGACTGAAACAATGGAATTAGCCGAAAATAGGCTCAAAGTGGCCGATTCGTAAATATCTCCTTGACCACTAACTTTACGAGAGCATAATTCCATGAGTTTTCTATCAATTCTTGTACATTTGGGTTCATTGCCTTAGGAAAAAGATTCTCTGTCATTTCATGAAAATATATTTTTTTTAATTCTTCAACCCTGAGAGTAAGTTTGTGAGCAGGGGTCGCGACATTGAAAGGGTTAAGTGAGCAGTATAGCTAGGCCTAAAAATGCATATACAGTACACTCATTACTTATCTTAAAATATTTTTGCACTTAGCTTATAGTGAGTGGCAAATATATTTATTGTAGGAAGTCTGAATAAATGTGGAATGGTTATAATTGGAAAACGCTGTATTAGTGAAATGCTGGAAAGTGAAATTCCGCAAAGTGAAGTGCAGTAAAGCAGAGCCCTCCTGTACATGTAGACTACATTATCTGTGTACTGCATAAAAGAAATAAAAATTTTAATTTGACATAAATTTCTCATACACTATCAGCACATTCATTATTTTATGCATTTAACAATATATCACTTGCAGTGTAGTTATTTATCGGTTAGTAATGTACTAAGACATATTTTTCTTAATGCTAAATGCAGTTTTCTTTAATAAATCAACAGCAAGATGAAGAACAGTGTCCCATGTTGTCAACATCTATCCAGAATCACTTTGCAGCCATCAAAACACGTATGGGCAAGACTCGTCGCAACTCCACGCACAGACAGTCACTCATCCTCTTATCCAGGAGGTAATGTAAACATACCTCACTTACCTTTTTTTTCTGCATGTGTGGTTTTTCTTAACTGAATATTTCAAACATGTTATTTAACCATTCTAACAAATTCACAGCATATTGGAAAGATACAGTACTGGAATACCTCACTAATATGGTGGGTTAGCTTCCAAACTGCCACTTTAAAGTGAATCACAGTCTTTTTGTCACTTTCTGGTGCATATAAAAGCCTAAAAACATGTTTACACTATCATTTATTTAATGCTCAATAGCACTAGGCCTAAAAAGCTATGCAAAAATAAAAATAACAATAAAAAAAAAATTGAAAATTTCCAAAAACCATCTTAAGAGCAAGTCAGGTGATGAAAATAGTAAACATGAATATAATTGA